ATTGCATCCTTTGTATTGCATTTAGCAGGCGGCCCTCCAAGCAGACCACCAGCTCAGCAAAGTTGCAGCGCAAACTGCTGCCAATCTCGTCAAAGTCCAGCTCCTCTAATTTGTCATGCACCAAATTAAAAGAGGCCTGAATACTTTGCAGCATTTCCACACGTTTTCGCAGCTCACTTTCTGAAATATTGTCAATTTCACAATCATTTATTTTATTTTGAATAGAAAGCGCCCACGCATATAATGATTGCGCCTTGCGCTTATAAAACTCAACACTATTGCTCGTAGCTTGCACTGCATTGCCCACAGCTGTTGACGTCGAAGCTGTTGGCGCAAGCGTCGCTGCATCAGCTACGTCAGCAGCAGCTGATGCGACAGCTTGGAAGGCGCGCATTTGACCGTCGCTCTCAGACATTGTGAACGCGAGAGAGAACCGAAAACCGAAAATAGCAGAGATAAATGACGCGCGCGAATAACTGTTTTATCTGCTGATGTTCGTTGCCCTCAAAAACGTCGCTTCACACGGCTGCTTATTGGCGGTACAGTAGGCACTATGAACTTATATTTTTGCACTTATGTACTTGAATATTTTTTGTGTACAATGAGCTCAATTATGTACGCTTTTGTTTTTTAACGCGATTAAGCAAGGTTTTGTGGAATTATTAATCACGTCGGGGTCACCAAAATGTATAATCATAAGCTTTTTTATGATTCCAAATATGCGAAATTATGTTGGCGAAATAATTGCAAAATAAGCGAAACGAAATTGTTCAATTTAAAAGATGTGCACAAATGTTTATTTTGCATAGGTAGCGATCGCCGAGATTTACAAAGTTTATGCTGGTAGACGGAAAGCTAAGCTTCTCCGTACCAGATGCGATAACGAAAAACGAACTTGACTTGCAGAGTTAGCGACAATAACTAGTACATATGTGGCGGCTGCGCAGCAGCCTATGCAAATTTATGGCAACAAAAGGAAACGTTAAGTGCTCGGCTTGCTATGCAAAGCAAGCGACAAGAAAACGAGCACTTTGCATTGAGTTATTTACGTTACTTATTAACTATGATGTGCTGCTGGTTTTGGCTGTTTTTGGCCGGATGACCAAACAGTATATATGGTTGCACGACTTTATTCCATTTAGCACGATTCAAAATGACATGTGATCAATGACTTTTTACACGACTTTCTCGAACCAATGTACCGTGTAAAAACAGAATTGGGTATACTAGTCTTTATTTATTTTTTAAGAAGGTACTTGTACTTACAAGTATGTATAGATATGTATATTAAAATTTTTTGCACAATTTTACACGGTCTTTTTTTTACACGATTTTGATATAACACGGTTTGATAATTAAAATTGCATATATATTTCTTCAGAGATAAGGAACCAATCACCTATTTTTGATTATGATCAATGTCTTGTTGTTTCTGGAACCAATCTACCGTGTAAAAACAGAATTAGGTGTATTTACACCAATATAGCAATCTGATTTCAATTCGCATATAAACTGCATTCCATGTTTGACTTTTGTTTGTGCTTTATGTAACTCTGTCTTGGCAGTAACTGTTTATCGGCTCAGACAGTGGTTGTTGCTCTTACCTTTTACATAAAAACACAAGAGAGAACGCTACAGTCGAGCAAGCCCGACAGTGTAATACCCTGTACCCAGGTAAACTTGCGTCACTGAGTTATATGCGCCCATAGCAGCAGCAAAAAGAGGAAGAAGAAGAGCGAACTTGTTGCTGCAGTTTGTGGGGGTTGTACTGGCGAGAATTTGTTTTTCTAATAACTTTTCTTAAAATTGACCGAATTGAATAAAATTTTGAACAACAATAGACAATTATATATAAATTATGTGTGCAAAGTTTGGTTTAGGTAGCATTTGAAATGTGGACGCTATTGACGAAATTCTGTAGCGGGGGAAGGGGGGGAAAATTCCAAAAAATAAAATAAACTCGTCCTTACTTGGACCTAGGAGAATCTGGATGCCAACTTTGGTTATTCCAGCTTTTATAGTTTCTGAGATCCTTGCGTTCATCCAGACGGACGGACAGACGGACAGACGGACAGACGGACGGACAGACGGACGGACAGACGGACGGACATGTCTAGATCGATTTCTCTCGTCATGCTGATCAAGAATATATATACTTTATGGGGTCGGAGATGCTTCCTTCTGTATGTTACATACTTTGCACAAACCTAATATACCCTTTTTACCCTACGGGTACAGGGTATAAAAATGGAGTCGATTAGTTGTGGCCAGCTGCAATAAATAGCTTGGTAGAATTCTTAAAGTGTTTCGCCTAAAAGTATGCCTCTGATTAAAATGCCCGCCAATTAAGATCTGTCCGTCTGCCCGGTCTATTATTTTGAGCCTATGGGCATGATCGGAAGCGCTGCGGCAAGAGCATTCCGTCAATTTTTTTCTTGCTAATGTAGGCAGCCAGAGTTGCGGGCAAGCGTCGCAAAAATGTAATTGGCATATAGTACGACATACATACATATGCACACAAATGCAAACATATGTGCTTATATGCGGGTGTATGTCAGATGTATGTACATATACATACATATACAAGTATATAAATATAAGTAAATGTGTGTACATACATATGAGCAATACAATTGTTATTAATTGAAAGCCGCGTTTGTTTGTTTTTGTGTTTTTCGCTCGCTTGATTAAATTACCACATGATTAAACGAGCGTGGCATGCCGTTGTTTTGTTCCCTACATTTCCCCTTTAGTTGAATAAATGGTTTTAACATCTATGAACATTTGAAATATGTAGTTTCTTTATATATACATATATACATCTGATATAAAATTAAGTCTGCGCTCTGACTGCAGTTTCTGATGTTAAATGAGTCATGTCCCACGCACTATTGCCGTATCCGATTTCAGGTTTGTGTGGTCCTCAGACAAATGCATCCTGCCGGATGTTTAAGCACATCCTTCGATATCTGAAGAGGGGCTGTTTATCCGCATGCTGCTTGATTTATTCATTATAGGCAGAGCATGCATGCACATTTCTGATTACCACTTAAATGTACATATGTATGTATATGTATGTATGTACATATGCATGTACTACTTAGGCCTCAATATATGCGCATCTTTGTATCTAGGCATGAAATAATTGAACGTAGTCATCTGGGGGGAAGAGGCTTATGAAATTCCATCTGCTTTTGCGTCCCACATACTCGTCGTTAGCATCAATGCTAAACATTCTGATAGTTGCCTTGGCTTGCGTCATCTGCCACAGCGACTGTTTGCCGTGCATTGCACTTGCTGCAGGGAAAAGGCCACAGACGACTACTGTATCTATGCAGTTGTCGCTGCTCAAACTTTTTGGGGTTAATTCATTGTATAATCCGATGGAAGCGAGCGAGCTGCGTTCGTAGTGCCCGTCGTGGCACGGGCGCTTTTCATTCTTTCGATAGCGGCATATGCGCTGCGCCCCACACACACACGCACACTAACACACACAAGCGTACACACCCAGAGAGAAGAGACAGCCATTCGTTGGTCGTCGCTTTGTAGTCGTCGTCGTCGTTGTCGTCGTCGTCGCCATCGCCGTTGTACGCGTTTATTTTCAGTCAGTTTCCTTGGACTGGTGCAACTGTGAAAACGTGAGACGCGTTGGGTTTACGCTCGAAGAGCTTTAATGCGCCATATAGCAACATATACATACATATACATATATACATTTATAAAAATCGTTCAAAAACCAAACTTCAATTCCTATTCGTCTCGTTCTCGTTGGATAAACACGCGAAAAGACGTGCGACATGTTTTGCTTACAACTCAACCTAATCATGCACATATATGTCTATACATATATATGTACGAGTACAGATGCATATATAGTAGTAGTGCCTATATGAATTTGTTTTGTGCAAAGCAAATATAATTATCATCGCTCAGATACACTTATGATAAACATTTCACGCCTAAAACTGCTGTACGCGTTACCACTTGGCTTCTTCTTTATTTTTTATACGGCGAACAAAGCAACTCGAACTCGCCACTGCCGCCGCATTCCACATTTATTATAGCTAGTGTCTTATCTGCAACGCGGTCGATGAATCAACACATGGAATTTTATTATATATTTATAAGAGTAGTAAATGGTTTTTATAAGTATGCCCCCCTATAGTGATCTTCAACTGAAGTATATTTCGTTTTTTTTTTGGTTTGTTTGTTTTCATTATCTAATCATTCAAATTTGCTAATCCAGCTATAGCGCCAATACGAAATTTGTTAATATTTGAGTTAAATTGAAATAGTCGGCTTTTTATCAAAAGCCCTTTTTATTAATAGTAGCAAAAGTTATTTGACCTTTTCGTTAAAAGACTTCCGTATCAAGAATAACCAATTCCTCTCTCTCTCTCTCTCTCTCTCTTTCGGTGCGATTTCGTAACTGCAGTTTCTATTACTAGACCTAAATAGCAACAAACAAAAAAGCACAATTTTTAGCGAAGCTCTTTGTCTGGATCCGCTCTTTATAGTATGTTGCTTAATGCGAGGCACGAGAGAAAGCCTTATGCACCATTTTTATTTATATGTGGGCCACCAAGTACAATGAACTATCTTGCAACGTCTTATTAGAGGACTGTATTATTTGCCCAGCAAATTGTAAATTTTCAGACTCCTGCTCGTGTTGATTCAGCAGCCGGCAAAAACACTTAAATAAATAGCAGCAGAGTTCAAAAAGTGAACAACCTCAAGAGCCATATGCATTTGTTTGTTATTGCACTTGCAGCAGCCCTAGCTGTATATATTTACATTATGTTGAAATGGCGAAAGAAGAGCCTGCCTCCCAGTGCTTTAGTGCACTGTTTATCTTTGTGTTAAATAAACTCGTTAGAGCTAAAAGCTCTTCGTATTTAAAATCCTAAATGTTCTCTATTTTATGTGCTCGAACTAATATAAAAAATACATCGACGAAAAAAAGAAAAGAACGTACTTATAAATAGCAGAGAGAACACAAAGAGACCAAGAATGAAATTAAAAATGTACTGAAGTGAATATAAACAATAACAATAGAAATGTGTAACTTATCACAACAATAATAATGCCTCACCCTTAGCAAAAGGGCCAGGAACCAAAAATAATACAATAAGACAGAACCTTGACAATAAGTGAGTCATATCGCGCAGGGAATTAAATTTGTCAAAAACAAAAAAAAAAACACACACAATTTCTTGCTCGGCACTGCGTTGGTCGAAAGAAAAAGAAGGAACTATAAATAAAGCAAGAGCAACAGCATCGGGCCAAGTTGTTGCTGCAAAATACAGAGTGGAACTCAACTAAATGTTGTTGATTCTACTGGCCATACTCATGAGATACGTAGACATTTCCAAAGTGCAACAGAGTCAGCGCTGCGCCACGTGTGGCAGCGTTGGTGCTGATTGCGGGTGCGAGGACTGCAATGACGCAAACGGCAATGCTCCCTGCTGGCGACATGTGGCAGCCACAAGCAATTCCAGCAGCACCAGCAGCGGCTGCGACAGCAATTCATCATCAAAAGAAAATTATTATTTGCCACAACAACAACAACAGCAACAGCAGCAACAACAAAGGGCCGTGCTTCCTGGTGGCAAGTGTGAGCAGCTCGAGCAACTGCGCTACTACCAGCGAATGCAGCAACAGCAGTTAAAACTCTTGCAGCAACAGTTGCTGCAAAGACGCTTCTTGCAGCAGCAGTTGCTGCAACAGGGCGTGTCGCTGCCCCCGAAACAAAATCGGACAAGACCTACAGCGTCCACAGCGTCGATGACCTGCAACCAACAGTACCTGTTGCAGCAACGCCAGCAAAACTCTCCACATGCTGCCCAATTTAATTATGACAATAACAAAAATATTGACAACTATCAACACCATAATAATGCAGGTGACTATGGTAAAGGTACGATATCATCTTTGCATACATCCAATACATAGCTTAAATATAACAGGAGGGAACACATAAATATATACTACAAGTATATACCATATGCGTCTATATATAGTTGAAGTTTTTTTATGACCTGTTTTTTCCATCCACTCCATAGCTTAACTTATGCTGCATATACACATGCATACATATGTATATATTTATATGCATGCTTATGTGTATATACAAGTAGAAGGGAAGAAGAAGCGTACTAGACTGCCCATTAAAACGGAACCAATTTAGAAATATGAAAGAACCTAATGTTTACGATTGATTTACTTGTGCTTTCTACAGAAATATGACATGAAGGGGGGAATACGTTCTCTTTGTCTCTTATTTATTTATAAGCTGAGCACAGGCATTCGTTTGATTTTATACACGTGTCGTCACTTCAATGCAGTAAATAATCAAAAGAAGCTGCACTTGCTGGCAGATGTGCTTGGAAAACGATATTATGATATTTTTCGATCGAAAAAGCCTAAACTATCTCCTAGTTAGAATATAGTTATTGTTGTTTTCGGAAAACTTGCCTTCACACAGCTAGTATGTCTAGATCGACTCGTCTCCATATAATAGCGTCTGAAATGCTTCCTTTCGCCTTCTTTTAACTAATTGACATATTATTATTAGTATTATTATTTTTACCTCTGAGCATGCGATGTCAGCCTGTTTATTGCCTTCCTTCCTTGCTGTTCTTATTGTTCATAGACCGAAATGTTGATGAAAATATTCGTCTATTGATTTTTTGAATGAGCTAAAAAGCGTGGTGCATGCCTCTTCCGAGGCCAGACCATGGCATGGGTGTTAGGTCGTAAAATGTCCCTCACATGCTATACGTACTACATATATGAATGCATAAAAATACCATTTAAACTTTGGGACTGCAGATACATTAAATCGGCCGTTTCACACTATTTGTTAGTTGTGTCGTGGCATCATAAAAACTAATTGAATCATTATTTTATTCATGGGCCGCGTCGTGTTTATGTCTCTGAACTGATTCTGTGGGCATGGGGTGTTACCTTGGGACATTTATTGTCTAGAGCGCACGGAATCCAATTGTTTTATAAGTTGTAAAATGCCAGTCTCTTACCGAGGCTTATTATTGTCGATTGGCATTAAGTAAATTAGTCTTGAATGAGTGGATTTGAGAGCCAAATAAAGCGATCAAATTTGAATTGCAAATGAATAGCTTATCTATTCATTGATTATTGCGAGGAGTTTCTTAAGGCGAAAATAATTCAATTTCGGAATTAATTTAATTTCTTGAGATATAGCGCAGCCTATTTCTAGAGCTTATCTGTTGGGTTTCTAACTTACAGATACTCGTATTATCTACACAAAGAAAATACCACCTGTGTCTTATCTATTAGCCATAAAAGGATCGCATCTCGTTTCTAGTGTTTATCTGTTGGGTTTTCTACTTACAGCTACCCGTATGTTGTCTTAACTATTACCCATAAAGGGATTACTTCTTGTTATTGTTATCTTTTATTCGCCAATGATTGCATGCTGGTTTTAGCAGCCAGTTACTTTTAAATGGAGTTTTCAGATATCTGTATTGGTTTGATTGTCAACTAGATGTGGATTAAGTAGACCTTTGTTTAAACATTTTGTAAGGATTATAGCCTGCACATTAAATATGCTTTTGTTTATACAATTATTGATATGCTTTGTATTTGTTTGCACTTTCAGGACTTCACTTTCGACGTGGCATGACTGAGCTCTCAACGAACAACGATGACAACATTAACATCAACAGTCACAACATCAAATCGCATTTAATATCGCAACCTTTACAAAGCTCGCCCGTACATCAACCATATGCAAAAGCTCATCCCACCTCACTCTATCAGTACAATCACTTCTATTACCAGCAACCCCAGAAACAACCGCCTGCTTTCAACGCAAACTCAACCACCAGCAGCAACAACGGGAATAAGAACGCCAACAACACGACTGCTCACATAGCTCTGACAACTGAATCATCCGCATCCGCATCTGCATCCGCATCTGCATCCTCATCACCCTACAGGAATCCATTGAACAGTCCCAGCAATTCGCCCTTCATCACGGCGACCGCAACGACCGGAAAGAGGTTTCAGCAACTGCTGAACGATCGACTGCAGTGCCAGCAGCAGCAGTTACAGCTGCTAGCCGAAGGCTGTGATCTTAGCGCTGCAGATGAACTAAGCGATGAGAGTCTTAAGCAGAATGTGGCGATTGTGTTGAGCAACTTGGATCGCTACAATAACGCACTCCGCAGCGTTATACTCAACGAACAGATCATTAGCGGTAGTAATAGTCTCTTGCTCTGTGACGAAAGCTTACCTTACGACTTTTACAACGTTCTTGAAGACGTGGAGAAGCAGCACGGGGGCTTTGTCAACAGCAATAGCAGCAATAACAACAACAACAACAACAACAACTTTTTGCTCAATTATCGACCGACCATGGCAGCGACGAATGTGGCGGCAGCTGCCACGCCCGAATCAGACTATAACAGTAACGCGACCACGCCGGGTGCGCGCAACAATGAAATGCTGCCCCCGCAGCATGGGGTAGGTGCAATGTTTTGTGTTGGTGATGGTGTTGGGCATCTTAATGGGACTAATAGTATTGGTGGGAATAATGTTAATTGCTCCCTGGCGTCCTCGCACGACTTTACTCATGACAATTCCGATTATCAGTGGTTCCTGGACTATGGATATCGAGATGGCTGTAGCGGCATGCAACGCAGCGTCCTAAGCTCGCTCTCCTCATCGTATAATGCGATGGGCGATCTTATCTATTACGAGGACCTTGCTAAGAACTTGGACGCCAATTTAGCCGAAGTGGACATGGAAAGCTTTCGGGCAGAAGATATACATTCGCTATTGTCGCAGTTGCCCGCCTACTGCAAAAGCCTGGGTGGCACCAACAGCCGACTGCAGCAATCCTTGTTGCTGCAACAACAGCTGCAGCACAGCAACATGTTGCCAAATTTGCTGCAGACAGCTCACAATATGTCGGAGACCTCAACGACATCGACCAATGAACTGATTGACAACTCATTTTGCAAATCGGAGCTCCTCTTCTCCCCAGTCAAAGAGTCAAACATATCTGTATCTGACTCATTGGATATGGATGCGTATCCCGACGATGGCGATATCATACTCACATGCAAAGCCAATAAGGACAACTATACAATTGCATTTGAAGGCAGTGTACTTTACTCGGACGAGAGTTTTTACGGTAAGTTGGTGAATATCATGCTCCTGTGGGCCGTTCATTAACTGGAAATGCTTTTGCAGCGGAACCCAGTGAAACTGCTATCCGGAACAAACAGAACTGTATTAACTTGCACAACAATCTGGAGGATATTGTGAAGCGTAACAAAGCGTTGGAGGCATCAATGTCACGTTCGGCCCAAACCTTTCAGCCACTGTGCCTGTATTCGCACAAGGCTGAGCCGCAATTGCAAAGGTAAGTGAGAAACGACCGCATATCCAATAAGTCTAGGTATATGGTGAGAAAGCTAGCTTAAGCACTGTTAGTGTTTATCCTACGGATGTGGGTGTTGTTGTCAGCCAGTCCGTACCTGCGCTTTACTCTTCATGCATGGGGGTCATTTCAATTGACTTTAATTTAGTTTCATTTACATATGTGTCGCACATACTTAGTATATACGGCTAGCATTATGTATGTGCAGTTGCCCTGTTAGCTGTGGGTTTTACTTGCAGATATGTAGGCATGTTTTTAATCCTAAGGTCACTCAATCAGGGACTTTCAGGGCATAAATAGAAAAACCCAAACCGATAGCAAAATGTCCAGACATTTACATAAACGGGGGCAGGTACTCAAATAATTATACATCCATACACAGCTCTACCTAGTAGTCGATAGCAATTTATAATTTTTAACGGTCGATGTGTCTGCGCTTGCTAAGACGCTCGGTATGTTCTGTTCGGACTACTTGTAGATATCCCTCGGGTAACAATAACACCGGCACTGAGACCATCACCATCACACGCCATTTGCCGCAGTGCAGTGTGCGGAAAAGCAGCAGTCTTCCCAATCTGCATGAGTCCCGAGATGCGTTAAACAGCAGCCTGCAACAGGAGTCATCGGCACAGCAGCATCAACAGCAGCTAAACGTCTCGCAGGCTATAAGTACGTCAACAATGGAGTCCTGCACGACACGCAATCTTCTGCCCATGTGCCAAATGCCCATATCGATTAGTGTGTCAGTAAGTGAGCGACTACAACAACATCAGGCAGTGGAGGGGCAGCAACAGCAGGTGACCCCTACAAATCAGTATCGCCACAAACATCGCTGTAGCTGCACTTCATCTACGGCCAACGACAGTCAAAATTTCTGCTCCGCGGCCCACGCGCAGAAGCACGCACACATCTCCGGGTCCGCCTCGTCGGGCAGCTCCAATCCACCAGCCTTTAATCTAGTCAAGCTCTTCATTAAACAAAAAAGCAATAATTGCGCCGCTGAGGAGGCGCAGACAAGCACACATACCTGCATGGACGTCTCGTCCGGTTGCTGGCCATCAAGCGATGCTGCTGGCTCCAGCTCGAGCTCTTCACTTGAACAACGGCTGCGCAAGAAAAGCATGAACGACTCAGGAAAGGGTTCAGCCGTAAGTCGACATGAGGACGAGCAGGATCAGTGTCAGCAATGCAATGTGATGCTGCCCTCTACGCCCAAACGGCTGCAACGCACTCGCGAGGCACTCTTTTATGATGACGGTGCCAGCTCGAGTTCAGCTGGTTCCATGACCGCAACTAACTCACCGGCACACCGGCGCCGTAACACTCCGCTGCATAATCCACAGTTGTATCAAATAGCCGCCAATACACAGACCCAGACCAGCCAACAATTATCGGAGGCGAGTAACTCGTCTGAGCAGCTTACGCTCCTCTCCGTCGCTGGTAAGCGGCACAAGGACAATGGCCGTCCTCTGTCTAATGCGTGCAGCTCGGAGATGATTACGCGCTCCATGCAGACATCGTGTGGCTCGCTAAGCACGACACGCAGCAGCCTAAGCGACCGTTTTCGTTGCGTGCCACCCTCGTTTTTGGCCAAACTAAATAATCTGGGAGAGGAGCGTCAGGCCCCCATATATGTTATCTATCCGAACTATGCGCTGCCCGACTTGGGCTTCGTTAAGACGAATGTCTCTAGTACAGAGGTAATTTTCTCACCGTTCAACTATAAAATGACCATGGACGGTGCCACTGTGACCTCGACAGCATCCTTGAAAAAGCGCCAAAGCCTGAGTGCCGACGAGGATGAATTATTTAAAACGCTCGACTACAATCACATTGCCGATTGGCAGTCGCTGGCTATTCTACTTCCTAGTAAATACCGTCGACGCTTGAAAATCATTCCCGAGGTTCAACAAATGGTAAGTCAATTGGAGGTGGAGCTCTCGCAGCGACCACTGTTCTGTATGTCGCCGCCGATTCGTCGCAATCGGCCCAATATTTGCGACTGTGCTAAGTACATGCAACAGATGCAAATGGAGGAAGAGACAAGTTCTGGGTCCAGTCAACAGCCCAGTTCGGGCTATCGCGGCTCCTCTACGCTGCTCACCGATTCAGAGCTAGATCCGCTTTATATATACCAGTATGAGCAACAGCGCATGGATTCGGGTGCGGAAGCACGCCAAACACCACCGCAGCCAATGCCACGAAGCATTCTGCGCAAAACGCCATCAACACAGCCGCGATCCAAACGCAATTCAATGATCGAGGCGCAGCAGACACAAAAACTGGCCAAATTAGAGAAAAGACGCAGTCTACAGGAGCCACCGTACAACTTTACGCTCGCCTCCACGGACGAACTGGCCGAGGTGTTTGAAGAGGAGGACGCGGCGCCACAGCCCGTCACAAATCTACGCCTGTCGCGTAGGGATCTCGATGCGCGTGCGCGTGCCGAGAATTTCCTGGCATCGCTGCCACGCTCAGAGCTAAAGTATTATGCAGAAATTGCAGCTATCTTGGAGTCTTCTGGCGAGCTGGTGCAGTATGATGCAGCGGCGCTCAAGAAGGAGGTGAGTCGCGTGCTCAGCCAGCAGAAGAAGGTGTCCTTTAACGATGATGCATCAGTGGCGCTCCCGCTGCAGGCTAAACGGTTCACCACTCCACCAAATTCGCCGAACATTTCCATTGCGGCATTGCAACGACGGGAGACGCTCGATGCAAAGGAGCAACGCAAGATCGAGAGCAATCGCTTCAAGAGATTGCAAATCCAATGGGAACTGATGAGCAAAGACTCGAGCATGCTGAAGGAGCTGGTTAGCGAGCAGGCGACCAAGAGCGGCGGCTCCACGCCAACCTCGACAGCGACGGGTGCGAACTCGGCACATAAGTCTCGCATACCGCGACCAGTAAGCTATCCCGCTGGCAGGTGTGTATCCAATTATTATCTCCATCTATTTTTCTCTATTCTATTTATGGGTTTCGATCTACTTTTTCCCCTTTTATTTTTCGTTTTGCATGTCAACTGATTTGATTTCAATTCACCCCACCACCTCCACCCGTTTCGGTTTGTATTTTGATCATCAAAGAACTACCCCCACAAAACCCGCCAGTACACCCACCAAGATGGCAGCACACGCTTCTCCACAGTCTGTTACTAAAACCCGCAATACACACGCTATTGTCTCCTCTCCCCAAACGAACAGGGTCAGCACCCAGGATGCAGGTAGCTCCAAGTGTAACACTCGCTCGCCGAGTCGCATAGTGCCGCCAAAACGTTACAGTATAGCCACAACGCCTACACCCACAACCCCCACAGGACCTGCACGTGCACGCACGCCCAATGGCAGGATGGCTGTGACAGCGCCCAACACTCCAAAGCGTCAAAGTGTCGCCCAATCGCCCAGGTGAGTTTTTCTTTTTGCGTTGCCCAACACCAGCAATTATCATCTGTCTTCCTGCATTGCAGGCCCATCTCGCGTGTCCGTTGAGTCTGGAGAGGAGGACGAACCCAGCCCAATGGAATCGACCAGTGGATCGTGCATTACATCAAGTTAAACACAAATAAAATAAAGAGCAATGCAATTGTAAAATTATAGGCTAAGGCTATGATGGCCTTGTGCGGTTTTTCTGCTTAGCTGCTGGCCCGGAAAGTGATATTAAGCGAAAGGATTAGAGGATTGTACGGTTCCGCCTGAGGCCACACACTAGTGTTGGCGTTTTTTATTTATTTTTAAGTTGCGCATAAGTATTTACATTTCTTTTAATATCTGCCAACTACCGATACATTGCAAAATCAATGCCTACATCATGTATATACATATATAGAGAGCTATATAGAGCAAGTCGTTAAAATTCAAAAACGCGCCGGCTTTTTTTTTTTTAATTTGTGCAAGCAATGCACTCGAAAATCATTTCCGATGCGTTTTTAATTAAGAAACATTTATAAATTGTATAAAATATTTTCTATAAACCATATCGATATGAATTATTGAAAGGCATATAATTATAGGGCATATAGTGAATACTCCAGATCAGGTTAATTAACAATATATACATATATATACATACATGTATGCATACATACCTAACTATATAATTATCTATACTGACAAAACAAAAAAACAAAATGAAAAAAAAAAATAGCAGAAATACAAGCCTATATAGTATAGCTTCATGGCTCAAGAGCGGCGTTTACTGATATATGTGTTATACCTGTTGATGGCAGCGGTGCGTAGAAATAATTATTTCTGCTATTCATTTATGATTTGCAAAAAGCCTAAGGATATCTATCCCGAATTGCCTTTAATACTGAAGCGAAAAATAGAACGGTGCCGCTTCTGTTGCTTCCAATTTGCGATTTTTTGTTGCGACTTCTCTTTGCTATTTATTTCATTTTTCGAGAAATTCTCAATTTCTTTAAAACCACGTCGATTCTTAATATTCAGAATCAGAAAACATTCAATATTTCAATCGGATATATATCGATGCAAGACTTGCGTATGCTTACTACTTTGTCTAGACATAAGATAAGTCTGCATACTAAATTGTGTTTAAGGGTAACGCCAGGTTGAAAGAATTAATCACAAAGTGGAATAAGCGGAAGATATATACTAATTATGTAATTACCCGACAAAGCAAGAAACAATGTGTAAAAATAAATTCATAAAAATAAACAAGTAAAAAGTATTATCAAAACATAAACAAAATCCAGATACTTATTATTTAACAAAAACAAAATAAGATAAGTGATGTGGAAAAATGCCCTAAATAGGAAAATATACAGAAACACAATTTACTAAAAAGATGATGATAATACAGCTATAGATGTAGAATTTCAACTGTATGTTGGTGAAAATGTGGAACGACGAGCAGGCTAGGAATAAAAAAGATGAATTTTAAAAGTATTTAGAATGCCTATTTTAATCAACTAAATGTGGTTCCATAAAAAGTTAATGTAGTGTAGAATGTTAGAGTGTACTAAGAAAACTTGGGAGACGAAGCAATATGAGCCCGCAGCTGGCGTTTAGAGAGCGCAATTGATTCGCATGCCTTAGTATTAACCGATATGGATTAAATATGAAACAGAGAATTTAATATGCAGATGACTTGTCATCGGCTTTGCAATCAAGCGCCATTCCTAACATAATTTCGGAACCTGTCTATACAAAGAGAACAATTGGAGCTTGTCGGCAAAACGATAATTAAATTTGTCAGATACACCACAAATACATAACAAGAAAGATATGCTGGAGTTGGCACACGAGGACTAAGCAGATAAAATTTCCCAATTTTATTTAAGAACCCACGAATTACGGGAGCTATGGAAAATCACTATTAGCGGGGAAGTGAAGGATGGAGTAATATTTTAAAATACACGTATACTGCGTAAAACTTAAAGGCATCTGTGTGCAACATTTTTTGTCTCCAGCCCATATAGTCTCTGAGATCTAGATGTTCATACAGACGGACGTACAATCAAAGAGACATGGTTAAATCGATTCGGTTGCTAATACTGATCAAGAATATACTTTCTTGGGTATACTTGAAGTTTGCTACTGTCTGTTACATTTTCGCTTTTTACAAACCGTATATACCCTTTGCACCTTTTATAATGGTATAATGGTAAATATAGTGTGAAACTAAATGCATTTGCCTTATCGTGCCATTAATACGTGTTTGAATGCTACATTTTTAAATTGAACTTTTTAAAACATGAGACGAATGTAGTTATAAAGGAACATGAAGAGCTATTATCGTTTTGTAATTCACTTCAGCAATATATGGTAGAAGGAGTGGCTGGGTCCCTTAAATAATGTTTGGTAAGTCTGTTACTATATCTTATACATACTATATTTATTAACAACTGCAACTACTTGTACTTTCCCGAACCTAAGAGAACCTATGTACATACCATTGCTGGCTCTAGCTATTATACTTTTAGGGATCCTTGTGTTCACACAGACAGACATAAAACAGACGGACAGAATTTGTGGGAATTTTAGTTGTATATATTATTTTATATTGAAATGAAAGGAATACTATATTAATACAAATTTCAAAACATACAAAAATACATTTCATGTTTGAAATAAGTTTCTAGTAGTGTAGTTTTATTTTAGATCTTGCAGCGATCTTTACAAACAATTGCAATTAAATCGCTTAATGAAATATTTCTGTACAATCCGATTGTTCTGATCAATTTGTAAGTATTTAGATATTAATATATATATATTATTGAGTTTAGAATTTATTGTATTAATATTTATTTTTTTTATTATTTGTATACTTAAGTTTATTGGGGTTTTAAAATTATATTAGAATAATATTTTTTAAATTTTAGAGTATGTGAGTGGCTTTGGGTTTATCGATTTTAGTTTCTATAATTCGTACTCATGGAAATGATTATTTTCAATCTTTTAGTATTATATAAAAATCTTTGTCTAACAACTAATTCACAATTATGATTTCCCTGTAAAGGACAACATTAATATTCTTATCTTTGAGTTTGAAAGTGCGTTTAATTCATGTCGTAGTAGCATTTCGTTGGTTCTAACATTATTATACTTGAACATAAAATTTTAGCGCTCTATGCTGGAGATCGGTCTTATATTTGTGCTAAATTATTTATTTATTCTATAAAACATCGTATAGCCAAGGATTTAGAAAATTTGTTTTTTGCTATTTGGCCTTTGTGGAACAGAGTTGGATTTTATATAGTTTTTCTGTTGATCATATATGTACATAAAAGGTGAAAGGGTATGCTAGTTTTGTGCGAATGTATGTAACAGACGGAAGTAGGCGTGGCAGACCCACAAAAGTATATATTTTATTGATCAGGATGACAAGCCGAGTCGATATAGCCATGCCCGTCTGTCTGTCCATCCGTCTGTATGAACGCTAGGATCTCAATAAGTATACGAGCTAGAACAATCAAACTCGGTATCCGAATTCTCCTAAGACCGAGGAAATATGAGTTTGAGTTTATTTTTTCGATGCACCCCCCCACTCCCCCGCAATTCGTGGTTTTTTCCATAACTTGCCAAATTTGGCAAATACCTGACTATGATTATGAGTCCGTATGCCAAGTTTCATCATGATTGCTTAAATATGAAGCAAGGTTTAGCCATAAATAAAGTCGCTGCCCATGCTCTGATTGTAGCTCTGCCCGCAGCTGTTGTTGTTGTTGTTGCTTTGAGTTATTCCTGTACTGCATACATACACGCATATAAACACGCATAGACACGAAGATGTAAATTAATGCTGTTGAAACTGTGCTTTGTATGCATTGAATATTTTTTATTAAATTTAATTAAGTAATTTTATTTTTTTAAATACTTTTTTTTTTAATTTTTTTTTTTTGTGGAGAGTAGAGGGTATTTTACTATCGGGCTTGCTCGACTGTAGCGTTCTCTCTTGCTTTATTATTTAATCAAAATTTTAATTTTTTGACCCAACCTTGCGTGAAGCATTAAACTTTTCTAAAAATCGTAGAATTGTTTGTTATTTCATGTTTTTTTCAAAGTCATGCATTTAAAAAGTAGCTGCAGAAATATAATTTGTTTGGTCATCTTTATGTTAGATTTATGTTAGATTTTACGAAAGATCTGTTTGCATCGAGTTTATTTGCTTAGGGTTGTTCCATTTCTCGAAATAGAGACCGTTAAAGTTTAAAATCAGAATTCAATGTATGTACAGATATACATACAAGAACTAAGTATGTAAGTATGCTATATAACAGCACATACTTGCAAATGTATCCCAGGAAGCAAACAATTTCGAGCACAGTAGGCATCTACATTATTAAAAGTAATTGTAATTGTAATTACAACAACATATGTTGCAGTGTTTACAGTCGTGCGACTGTGTGTGTGTGTGTGTGTGTGTGTGTGTCGTCGTATTCGTGTGTGCGCTTCTCTGCATACATTTACCTAATTAAGTAAAATATTGTAAATGTAAAAAATTTTCCACGCATACTTACGCACAAATGTTGAAATGTCGAAATGTGAGTTCCTGCTGTTGTTATGTTGCCTTCAATTTTCGGAAAGCGCGCAGAAATACTTTTGCATATTTATTATACTTGTATGCATGGGGGCTTCGTAATTACTATTTGGATATGCTTTAGAATTTGTTGATTTGCTGTTGTTGCTGCCTTCTGCTTGCTGCTTGCTGCTAAGCAAATATTACAGGCCAATGTTTCACTTTTGAATTTCTTTTGCTCATTTTCGATTCGATTTAATTGTGTGTGTACTATACGAGTGCGTACCCCCGAGACTTGCTCATATAGCACAAAGTGCTTGTGCTTGAGCTCGAGTTCGAGCTGGCAACAATTTGCATATGGAATTCGATGCTGCCTAATAATAAAAGAGCAGGACGTGCACCAAGTACGAGTATGTATGTATGTGTTGCTGACTGCAACGTATGTAATTAAAAGTTGGTTTGTTTATTTGTTTGGCTGCTTGTTTGGAAATACATACATTTGCAACTCTCAAGAGCAATGTCGTGCTAAAGAAGAAGTCGGTCAAATAGATTTCATAGCAGCAATCGTGCATTAAAAATACAGGTGCCATTGCATGAGGTCTTAAGCTGTTCCGAATTTTGTCTCATACTTGTATATATGTATATATGCCAACAAATACAATACACCACACACTAGCTGAATATACAGCCGTGGGTACTCTACATAGTATCTGCATCATCAAAAAATAACAACTCAAAACAAAAACAATTGGCACATGAGGAGGAGCGTTGCACGAATATGGATTTGACAGTGTCAGGACATGTTGAGGCAATAAAGGAAGAGGATACGGCCGGGCACCTGTACAAACTGAAAATTTCATTGTCGTTGGCTGTTGTTTTTTTTTTTGTTATTTTTTTTTTTTGCTGTTTTTTTTTGTTTTTCGTTTTTGTTGTCTGAACAGCAGCAAGTGGTGTCATTAGTATGGCCTGGAACACGCGATTCGCAGACCGAAATGAAAGTAAACTATGCGCAAGTATTTAATAACAATTCATTTATGTAGATACATGTACGAGCAAGTGTAAATGTACACGCGGCTTTTATATTCAAAAGGCGAATTGCGAATAACTGCCAGTTGCGGCGAATTGGCGAGAGGGGCAAAATTTGTGTGCAGCGCATGCGCATCACAACATGCGATTGGGCAGATAGCCCACCCCCACCCTCGCTCATTGTCTGGAGGGGCAATGAGTTGCGGCGAATTTCGAGCGCCCGCGCACTCACCGAGGCCTGACCTACTTCAATGTGTCTCGACTAGGTTCGGCTCGACTCAGTTCAGCTCGCCTAGCCTCGCCTCGGCTCGGCTCCGCCGGTTGGTTGTCACTCACTCATTCCGGCCGTTTGCCTGCATATGGACTTTTATTTTATTTATTTGCACTGCATTTTTAATGTCGTCACGTTGAACGCCCCTCCCGCGGACGCCTTTGTTGTTGCATATGTTTTGTTTGCCTGCTGTTCTGTTTGTTTGCTTTGCGGTTGTTTGCTTCTCTGCGGCGGCGTTATTTGATTTAAAATATATATACACACACACACACACACATACATAGATACACTTATATAAACTATATTAATAAACTGCAGCTCACATTTCTCATACCAGAGAAAATTAATTTTTCGCTTAATTAGGTTGGCCATGTGAGTTAAAGTTAGTCACAGTTGTAAACAAAATAAAACACATTTACCAAGCTTTGTTAT